GTGTGTGTGTGTACATTCTAATTTTTCCTTTTTTTCTTCTTCTTTATCTTCCTCTTCTTCTTTTCTTTGGCTTCTATCTGCCGAGTCCCTTCGGGACATAGGCGACCATGGCTGTACACAAATGTGTGGCGCCTAGCAGTTTTTGTCCTTTTGCTGAGGGTTTCGCCCCGCATTCCGCTCCTTTTGTCGCCATCCATTTACGCAAGATCGTCAGAAAATGTCGTGCAATGAGTGCTGGTGGTAATAAAAAAAAGTGCTCGCTGTATAAGAACAGAGCTAATGTTGATGCTACTAATTAAAAAAATACAGCTTCTTCATCACCATTTGTTAAAACGCTGAGTATGAAATAAGCGACGAACAAAATGTAAATTTTTTACCCTAAATGTTTCTGTAAATTCTTGATTTGACTTGCTTCGCAAAATAAAACCTAATATTCTTATTTATTTTTGAATCTCTTAGTCGGAGAGCGAAATTGTCTGCAACTCCTGAAAACAAAAGTTTTCTTTCGAATTTTGTTGGTTGGTTGTATGCTTAGCTGCTTATTGGTGTTTATTTAATTCCGAAATCTAAATGTTTTGTACACACTTTATTTTTGGAAATAATAATGGTTTAGTAATACAAATTCTAATAATTAACCCATAGCTGGGGGCGAAAATGTAAATTAATATATTTCCTAAGTGTAGTTTCGCATAACAAACCCTTCTGGAATAGGAACTCGGCTCTTTGATTAACAATTCTAAGCGATTATCCATTAGAACACCTGCACATCTAATCTTCGATCACCTAATATTTTCATGCGGTCATCTATGTAATTATCTCGGCTCGACGTTGCTTAACTTCGGTGATCGTAAGGAAACCTGTATTTCAACGTTATGCGGCCGCAAGCACGAATTTTGTAGACGTTTTTTTTCTCAATATTATAGCTATATCTTTTCTGGCATTTTTATACTGTAAGCGAAAAACTGACAAAAAAGGAGATCTCTATTAATAGTTTGATACTTTGCTTTCGAAACTAGGAGGCGCGGTGGAGTAATGGATAGCGGCTTGGATTGAGGAATCGGAGAGCCGAGTTCGAATTCCAGTCAAATCCATTATATTTACTTACGTGCTAATACCATTTAATGGCAACTGGTAGACCAGTTTTAGGAGTTGCAGAAAAAACGTTGCAACTTACAGCGGGGAAAAAAAATCTGCCTCGTCAGTCATGTATCGAAACATACATGACCGCCTAAGCATGGCACATAACTGACTTTCAGAATCAATGTTAATCCGTTGCTGCCGTCGGCTCAACAATTTTCAAAGCACAAATATGTCCGATTTTTATTTTGTGTTCAAATGCGTTGTAAATATATTTTATAAATAAAAATGTATAATATATTGAAAAGATATTACTTTTATGTTATAATTATTATGAAATGGACTAAGTCCGAAAATTATTTTAATATATTTTTTGTTATACGTTATTTATATAGAGACAGATGTTTTTGTAAATGCTCTGTTTATAATAAGCAGTACTAACAACATTTTATCGGCCTGAATATTTTTGTCTATATAAATAACGTATAGCAATAAAATATATTAAAATAATTGTCAGATTTAGTCCATTTCATAATTTATGATGCCATTTGCTTACGTAAAGATAGGCTTCGAGCAGATATGAGCGTTCGAGGGAATTCATGGGAAATTTAAAAACAGTAAATCGACCTTGCTTACTAGATGCTTTCTTCGTAGCTAAACTGGTTTAGCACATCAAGCTATATGTCAGTTCCGTGTAGGATACAGGTTCAATTCCTGTTAGAGGACGCATATTTTCTATGAAATTTCTCGAACATTCAGGCTAATAAAATGTTGTTAATACTGTTTGTTATAAACAGAGCATTTACTCAAATATATGTGCCTATATAAATAACGTATAACAATAAGATATGTTATAATCTTTAAATATATAAGTTAACACAAAAAGATATTTTTGAATTAATTTACTTAAAACAAAATGCACCAAAACTTATCAACTTTTCATTAACTTTTTCGCAAATCTTACTTATTATAAAACGCAGATTGTGTGTGTGTCTGTACGTTTATATATTGGATCGGATTTCCTACGTTTTTCAACTGATTTCAACAAAACTTTACAGGACTACGTAAAATTACATTGCGGTAGTTCTGACAGCACTAAAAATTGGAAAAAAACACAATTGTTTTTGCACGAAATCAATTTGAAAACACGATTAAGTCGCCAGAATGAAAGGGGGACAACTTATATCGAGTTATACTTATTATAAAACCCAGGTTGTTTATGTGTGTTCGTTTATATATGGGATGGGATTTCCTACATTTTTCAACCGATTTCATCAAAACTTCACTTTTTTTGGCAGGTAGTGTTTCTTATTGTCTTGCACACTTTTTTCTTTATTTTTACATTCAGAATGCTTTAAAAATTCCATTTACCAGATAATTGTTTATAATAAAATTCTATTCAATCGATAGACTCATAACGATTGAAAACAATGTTTTTGTTTGAGTTTGGGTTTGACCAATTCGTAAAAAAAAAAAAAAAACTAATTAAGACATGCGTGTCCGTCAACCTTAAACAATAATCTTTGTCAATTCTATTTTTCAGTTTTTATGATGGTCGATACTTGATTTATCTCTTACTGTTATATCCCCGGGCAACGCCGGGCTCTATTGCCAGTTTTTAATAAATGCAATTTTTTCTTCATAAGGCCAGAATAATAAATCACATAGACATAATAGAATTACTTACAGAATAATCGACCAACAAAATAATATTGATAAACGTAATAAGGCAGGCAACTTATATCTTTCTTTCTCTTTCATCTTTCTCGTGTTCCCTCATATGGTGATTGTAGTTTATAAAACGCTTATGTTGAAGGTTTCCTGACAATTACTATTAACGAAGAAATAGATTCTAGTGACCAAAGTTGCCGTAAACATCATCAAATTACACAGATCAGATGACGCGTCTCAGATTTGTGTTTTGAAAATTGAGTCCAAGATTGAATAATGCCATAACAGGCCAAATGACAAATATGCATTGTAATGTGTGTAGTTTGGCGAGGGTAAAATATCCTAGAGTTCCAATATACAAAACAATATAAAACTATCTGCAAACGAGTATTTGTCTGCTCAGTTATTGTGATGTCGACGCCACACAGTGCACAAGCTCACACAACGTCTTTCATTGCTGACTGAGAATGTTTGATCTCACATGCAAATTAAAGACTCAAGTGATTGGTTGCTATATTGCATAGAGACTACCTAAATAAATGATAAAAAGACAGACAGATTCCATAAATGCTACTCTGAACGAACCTATCAGGTAAAAAGTTTCCTTCTTTATTCAACATCAACCATATATCACCGACTGTAGCTATTTTGAAAATATTTCAGGTTTCATCAAAATATATCAAAATATTATTTGTGTAAAACATAAGAATTCCTCTATAGAACACAAAAGAAAACCAGCATGCGATCGATTTTCAAAGTCATTTCGGAAAAGTCCGAGATTTTAACGGAAATGGATGCCCGCCAACTGCCTTGTTCATTCTGCATATAGATGCTCATACGGATTCACTCACGTAAAATGAACTTGCTTATTTTGATAATGTCTGTACATTTAACACCGGTAACAGAAGATAGTGTGGTCTTTAAACAGAGCTATGAAGGTAATATTTTGAATATTAATATCAATAAGTTTTTAATTTGCTATATTTATCATGGAAAAGCTGAAAGTATCGGAGCTGGAAGCATTTATAGACATGCACAGAGGAATCAAAACTGCATAATGACTGTTAGTTTCACAATTTCACAAGCGATCTTCAGACCAAGTGTCATTATTTCGGTAGCAAGTTCTAATTGTATGTCAATAAGTGAATAAAGAAAATGAGTGTGAGAATCCACTGAGATATATTTGAATAAAAATAAAAGGAAAACTTATCTCACCCGACGCGTTTCGTCCTCTGATGGACATTATCATTGTCCTTTTACAAATATTTTTTGTAGTTAGAACTGATGCGACAAAGTGGAAATTTAATTAACGACGCGTTCCGCCGAGAACGTTTGCTCTAATTGCATTCCTCAAGTTAGAATGAAAGAAAGATAAGACTTTATGTGAGGTAAAATGGCTTGGAATATCTGTGGATAAGTAGTGACCATAAAACAACTTAAATTACATTACCTTATCACTACCAATGTCCAGACTGAAGAGAGTGACTCTTTGTTTGTGTTTGGTGTTGTTACCTTTTTAAATCAATCCACAGAAAGTACAGAGTTTCATATTTTATATATATATATATATATATATATATATATATATATATATATATATATATATATATATATATATATATATATATATATATATATATATATATTTATAATATATAAAAATATTTTTTAAGTAAAAACTATGTTTTTAATAAACAGTATTAAACAACATTTACCGGCCTGAATGTGGCCGAAACGGTTAAAGGCACATCAGGCTATATGACGGTTACGTATAGGTTACAGGTTCGATTCCTGTCGGAGGACGAAAATTTTCCAAGAAAATTTCTCGGACATTCAGGCCGGTAAATGTTGTTTAACATTGTTTATTACAAAACAGAGCATTTACTTAAATATTTGTATCTGTAAAAATAATGTATAAACATAAAAATGTCTTAAAATAATTGTCGGACTTTGTTCATTTCATAATGCCTATATATATATTCCATGTATGTTTAGTTTAATTTCGTGTGAAAATAAAGACCAAAATTTTCGAACGTTTGGATATTTTTCTTACTCCTTGATTTAAACTTAAGGCTGACATGAGCTATCTTCAGAATGGATATCCGCAGATCGGAATTACAAGTTGAGGTTCTGTGACGTCATACCACGCGAGAGGCCGAAATGTTAATAGAAACATATATCTAGATGCAATGTGCTGTGTTGTTACTAGTTTGAAATTATAATTATAATGATAGTAAGATAGATAGATAGACAGACAGATAGATAGATAGATATGAACATTGATTTCAGAGAATATCCTATATATATATATATATATATATATATATATGCTTTAAAATTAGGATATATAATCACGACAAAGTTTTACTTTTTAAATTAGTGACAAATGGAAACGATCATGAAAGTATATTTGTTTAGAAATATATCCGATAATGCATTTCATCCTGTAAGGCTTCATCAGATCCGAATTGAAATAATGAAATGAGTGCATGTGTATATGTGTGTATGTTTAAATAATGGAATCTTGTTCATTTTTTCCCACTCTGAGTTCGAGTCAAAAAATATAAAAGTTCAGATTTGGGAAAATAAAAAGATTCTATCCGATACACGAATAGAGATGCGGATATTTCATTATTTCGATTTCGGTTCTGATGAAGCCTTAAATGGCAAAATGCTTTATCGGATGAATTTCTAAACAAATATATTTTCATGAATATATAGGGAGGATGTAAAGTGCTGAAAACTGTAAAAACGTTGAGAAAATGTTTTCGATTTGGAGAACTACAATAGTAAAATAAATGTCTACAAATATACCACAAAAACATGTTGAAATAATATGTTATTAAAGATGGCCAATACAGTGAGAAAAGTGTAAGAAAATTATATACCCGCGATGATGTCGTAAGGAGGATATTTAAGAGGAGATGAATGTGGTATCCAAATACTTGATCCTGCTCTTTATGGTCTCCCTTTTTGTAAACAAAAAGCAAATTAGCAGATTATCTGAAATTAAAATGCATTTTATATATATATATATATATATATATATATATATATATATATATTAACTACATTTAAGCATTTTAATGGCGGTAGGAAAGTGACCGAAGCCAAGACCGTCAACTCAGGAACGATAACATGACAGATCTTTCTTTGGATTCTATCAAGAATTTCTAGATTCGAAACAGAAATATAGCAAAGTATACTGAAATATCTTCAAATGCATATTCATGTCCATTTATTTGACCGACTAATCAAATGGATGGCATAATTTTGAATATGATTTTTCTAATTTTTTGTTGCCAAGGATAAAGTTTGTTTCTTTTCCGCAACGTACTTGATTTGTATCAAATGCACCTGATTTCTAATTTGTGCCATAAGCAATATAAGAATAGTTTTGGTTTCAGCAATCATAGGAAGATGAAAAAATCTATCATGAAAACATCGGATAAACAAATATGTGTTTACTGCGTAGCACACATTCCGTGCTATACGATTTTCTTGCTACTTTATATGTCTACCATTTCTTTGTGTATTGAATATTTCTGTCACATCTGGTCTGGTGATTCTGCTATGCACCTCTATATTCTGCATAGAATCCATAGAAGAATCTGCAATATCAACGGTCTTGACCTGTTATCTCGGCTTCAGTCCCTTTACTACTGTCGTATCGCAGCTTCCCTGTTCTTTTTATATAAATAATGGTTGTGTTGACACTCTTCTTTATACCGTCTGGGAAACCACTTTCTCAGCCAAAGAGTAATTTACCAGTTAGCAATATGCAACACGGGATAAAAAAATGAAATAATTACCTATAATTACTTTGTTAACGCTTTGTTTAAGAAAAGAGAGCACGCTCATATAGACTTCGAAATGACCCAACGGGAGATGTTCATTTCTTAAAATAAGCTTTGCTTTCCTTTGATGGCATCTAGACTTTTAATTGATAAAAACCATATTTGACTTCAAAAAGGGATTTTACCTGATGGGAAGACCGAATATCTCAATTCGATTCATGACGGAAGGTATAATTTCTTAAAAAGGACTCCTCGATTTATTTAGGCCGAATGATATTAATTTCCCTGTTAAAAAATAACATGGATGTCAACCAAAACGTGTATCCATTAATATATTTTAACGTTTATAATAAATAATATCGAATTAAATTTTCATTAATTGCTTATACATTCCTTGGATTCGCCACTTTAACTTTCTCGGCTTCGATATCCTATGCCACTTAAATTGTAGCAAACCACTCACATTGCCCCCGTATTCCCTCGAAGATAGGGCTTCCAACCGAATGCATTATTTTCCACGAAATACTGAACGGGCATCAAAGAGGATGTTTCCCTGATCATTAGAATTTTAACCTGTTCAAGTCTAGAGGTAACCGTTATTTTCCCATCCTATTCTTAAAAAACTTAGTGTAACCCTCTACCTCAAGTGCCATCCGGGTCTTGTATAGAGTGAACCTTACTGTAAAAAATACAAATATTTGATCTGTAAAATATTTATATTAAGAAGATTCGTTTACACGTATGCATAATTCACAGCCTAAAAAAATAATCTCTCTTTTATGTATTCATTTTCTCGCATTTTAAAGTCATTTAAGCAAGTTTAATTTCTCATTTCACGATTTCTTCTTATTACTCAGGTTATGTAAAGCTAATCAATTATCTCTTCTGCGATAGTCTAAGGCACAGCATCGTTTTCACTACCACATTGAAAATGTTCCACAAATACGTAAATATATATTTGATGACTCCACTTCTGGTGTAGTAGGAAAATATCATTTTGATGATGTATTAAGTGCGTATCACTTATGAAGATCAGAAACATTCGTGATGTGTAATGAAACGATATTCAACAATAAGATTCATACAACTGTGAGTCAATTATTTTTACACTAATAAAAATTTATTGAAAAGCCCAAACCGTAATTCAATTCAAGAAGATAAAAGTGATTGGGTCGACTCAGTGTTGGTGAACTTCATTCAATATCAAAATCAACATAATTTCCTGTGAGCAAAGAACATTCCAACATTAATTCAATTAAAAAAAGAGCATTATTTATTTAAAAAAGGCTTTCTGACTCATTCAGGATTTCTCTCTAACTTTGAACAATTAAAGAAAATATATGCTTCAATAAGGAACTGCTAAGACAGAATAGTTATGTGGCTTTGTTGCACTTACTGCGTTATACCATAAATGCTCGATCGATTTTCTTGAAAATGATATCTCTCTCACACACATATATACGCGCATATCTATCTATCTATCTATCTATCTATCTATCTATCTATATATATATATATATATATATATATATATATATACATATATATATACATATATATATATATATATATATATATATGAATATATATATATATATATATATATATATATATATATATATATATACAATGCATGTATTTTATGACTTACCTGTTGATGGAATTTTTCAAAATAAATTTTCTTTTACACATTTTGTACTAAAATACCTAAATGTTTTTAGTCAGGTGATTTCGTAACGCTTGCTTTTTATATGTTGACGAGCTTAGATAAAATGCTTTATTCCTACACCAACCTTTTAATATGTATAATCATTTTATTTTCAAAATATATATATATATATATATATATATATATATATATATATATATTTCAGATTTTTCCGTTTTAATCGATTTTACAGGAACGTTTTACACTGCCATCAAATTATGACGTGGTTCATATTGACGAGAAACTCTATTGAATAAAAGGATTGAATTTGAATGAAATAAAATCACTGTAAATGAAATGACAGAAAGCGATGCGACGATTTTAAGATTAGTCAATAAATAAAATAATAAGAAAGCGAAAAGAAAGAAATGAATGGATGCTAGAAAATTAAAAATACATAAAAATATAATTCAATGAAAGAAACTAAAATGTATAACAATGTATAAATATTAAATATAGAGCGAAAAATGGATATATTGTTGGAAGTGAATGATACAGAGAAGAATAGATTGAAATATAGACAAATGGATGTGAGAAATAACTAAATATATAAAGAAAGAAAAACCGAAAGAAAATCATAAACTAAAAAGGATAGTTAAGAAATTGTGCCATGTCACTCTATTGCTGCTACTGGCAACGTCGACAACTAAACTGGTTCCTCAACGAGGTTTTTTCTAGTAAGGAGGGTGGTGGGATAGACATCAATATTAAAAACAAGACCTGTCAAAAGGGAGATGATTTTTCTTGTACTGCTAATTACCATTGAAATCAATAGTAAAGAATTTGGCATCATATCAACATAAGTACATATTCTTGCAGGTCTCGATGTGTGTTCAAAATAAAGTCCCTGTTGACCACTCCTGTAAAATGTGCTGGAAGAACATATGGGCCTACCAAAGAGTCACCCGCAAATCCAGCTCATATACTAATCATAAACTGATGCTGGTGTCCAACATGTATTGTACCAGGGGATTGCGATCCGTCCACAAATGTTGGATCTAGAAATATGTTATTCCACCTCTAACAGATGTTTGCCTCATCGTTAAACAGGACTAAAGCCAAAAAAAACTTATCGAAAATTTGTGTAATAAACCATCGGCAAAGTTTCTCCCGTGATGAGTAATCAGAGGGCGAAAGACCCTGCACACGTTAAAATAATATAGATACAGGAGCTGCACTTGGAGTACCTTCCATGGGGTACTATGAGATGCTAGGGACACTTAACGTGTGCTGATATCTGCATCCTCCCCAATAGTCTTTAGAATGTGTTCTTCTTGGTCATACGTACAAGCAGATTTCGGTCTTCCTTGATCCACAGTTTGTGGTACCACGGATCCTATTTCAGCAGCGCGACGATTAACAGCAACAATTGTTGAGTGACGTGACTGTCTTACAATCAGCCATGTAGCCTCAAGTCCATTACCATTCGTACGGCCATATATAAAAATCATATCTGCCTACTCGCGATATGAAAATTTGCCATTGTTAAACATAACAATTTTCAGTTAACTCATTACCATACACGTTGAAATCAGACTAGCTACAAATTTACACGAATGACAAATCTATCGTGTTTTACATGGCAACACAGCACTATCTACCGTAAACTTTCTTTAAACTTATTAGCTAAAGCGAAGGATTTGCGCGCATATGTTTACATGGAATTTTGTCCGTGTTTAATGTGAGGTACAAGCCCCTAATTTTTATTGATACACCCTATAAAACTAATAAAAGCATTAAGCTCTACAAAACGAATTTCTCGAAATTTCATAAAATTAAATAAATGTTTGTTTGTGTGGTGGGGTAACAGTTGTTAAAAATATTTTTACCAAATTTTCGACAAGTGAAACATTTATAAAATAATTTCATTCATTTGGGAATATGTCCTGCAATTTTCATTAAAATCTCTCAATATCTGTCTGTATTTCTGAGATGAGGTATTATGTAGAGTATTTACATTATTCGGACTATTGTCCTCATCTTTGTCGCTATATTTATTACGACGTTTCGTCCGTTGTACGCTCCGGCCTTCTTCAGGTGGTTGGAATGTCAAACTGAACCCTTTATTTCGCTCACTGGAGTAGACTGTTCTAGTTCCACGTACCATGCTTAATGGATGTCAGTTATCAGTTATCTCCTGTTAATTACCCTCTCCAAGTTCTCAACATTGCACACTGGATAAAGGCGTTGGACCCAAAGACTGTGATTTCAATACCCGGTTATACAGTGGAGAACAAGTTATTAAATATGTTTCTTGTAGCTGTGCATAATACGCACCCCGATTTAGCTTATTATTTTTTTTAGAAAAAGAAAATGCGTATTATACATGTGGAATTACTGTAATCAGTAGTGCCTTTTATGGTTAGATGTCACTTATATTAATTATTAATATATAATATATTTCTAAGTGACGCGGTGAATCGAAAAATCATATATAGAGACTAGACTTGGCTCACGACTATAATTTGTTGTGAAAGTCTGTTCTAAAGCCGAATTATTCGAGAACCGAATCGGTTTTTGCATTACAGTTAATATAAATGATATTAATTTCCATTCGTTTCCAGATGAATGCTTATTTACATGCTAATACTATAATTTGGCTACTCGACTATCACAGACGTGATGCGACTTTACTTTGTCTATTCTACAAATGTTTTCATCGCCATTGCTCTGACGAGGTTTTTTTTCCCTAGGGCACAGACAACATGAATTTAAGCGTGCTACTAGACTAATATCTAGGTCCCACACATTTTACTGTTGAAATTACAGTCCCAAACAAACGTACAGAACAGTATCAAGAAATCAAAAGAAAGAATCCTTCAACACAGCAACAATATCTCGACACGTGACAGTAATTTATGTAACTTTCAGTTAACAGTGTGAAAATTGCGTTCTCTAAATTCTTCCAGTTACTAAGGACATTTTGTTTTGTTATCATTAGTTACTTTGTTTAATAAATTCATTTCATTTTTGCTTTGAAAAGTCCACATCGGACGAACGCGTCGGCAACTATTACAGTTTTCCAATTGTCTTTTACATTTATGAATATATATATATATATATATATATATATATATATATATATATATATATATATTTGGTTGGATATATGTGAGTTTGTGACCCTGGGTTTCACGCTTTAGCGATCGTCAGACAAACTGATTAATTTTTTTAAAAATTTGGGTTTATGTAGATTGCGTGTATTGGTGTTATTGTGGAAGTGCTGGGGGAAACTTCATCGCTTATGTCATCGTATGCAGACACATATACATACTTGGTCGTCCGTCGGGACTCATACATATATAAACATATGTGGGCAGTTTCGGATATGACATATGTATGTATACGGGTGGTGTTGTGACTATACATACGCATTTGTATGTTGAAATGTTGAAAATTAAAGATTCGAATTATGGCGGAAATGTCTCGTGAATGTCTCGTGAATGAATACATGTCATATTATGTATTTTTCCGCTGAAAAATATTTCCTCGCATGTATGTATATACGTGTGGTGGGGTTTGTGTAAAATTATGATAGGTAAAAATTATTATTATTTATATTTATTTTTAAACTTTTGAAAAAAAATGGTTTTTTATTTGTTATATTTAAAGCTGGTTATTTGTTTGTTTTTGGTGACTGTGTATATGTAACAGGTAGAAATTTGTAATCCTTAATTTATATGGTGATGTTTAATATTTAATGTGCTGGGTGAGAGGGTAGATTAATTTAATAACGGGTCTATATGATATGATGTGATAGTAATGTTGCAAGGGTTTGGAGACAGTGATAATATAATTAGCTAATAGTTATTGTAAATTGGTAGAAATTGTAAATTGGTAGAAATGATTAGTAACGGTGGTGGGAGAATGATAAAACCACGAATGTAGTTATAGTGGTGGTAGCTAGTGAAAGCATGTTGTTCAGCTAGTTTGTTTACTCTTTCATCTATATTCAATTTTGTGGCTATATTTTTGGCTTCTTGGTTTATAATGTTTATTCAATTCGTGTTTGTCTTTTTGTATAGTTGTGTAATTTTGTTGTTTAAGAGTTGATTGTAGGCTGTAGGTTTTATAGTATATATGTTTGTGTTATTGTCAGCCAAAATGAATACCTTGTTGGAGTTGATTTGCACCACAATAATTACATTTATAGGTTTTTAATATTCTCTCAGCAACATTACTAATCACTACTAACAATTTACAATAAATATTAACCACTTATATTATTATTGCCACCAACCGCTTACATATTATATCACACCATATCTATATTACCATATAATCCTGCCATAATTATTAACGTAAAACCCCTCTCCCAGCATATTTAATACCACCATAAAAAAACCCAATAAGGATTACAAACTGAAATTTCTACCAGTCACATATACACAGTCACAAAAAACAAAAAACAAAAAAAAAACAAGGAAATAACCAGCTTTAATATAATAACAATAATAATTTTGTAAATTAAAAATTAAAGCAATCTTAAACTACCATAATTTTACACAGAATACCTATTATCAGTATTTATACCAAAATAAATTAATCCATATAACAAAATAAAATAAAATAAAACACCAACAACCACTTTTCAGTTCAAGCTACCACCACTTTTTAACTAATAAATCTTTATATTCAAAAAGTTCACACCTTTATATGAAATTAGATTTTGTATCCCCTTACGGATATAAAAATTGAAGCATACTTCTTCTCGAGGCACAAAACAATTAGATAGAGCCATATGTTGATTTTCTAAGAATAGCTCAGATGTGGCACAAGGACGAAAATGTGGGGCACCCATTCAGGAAGTAACTCATTATTCATTCGTAATATTTCTAGTGAGACGTCGAGTTGCCCATGATGTGTGTAGATAGATAGATAGATAGATAGATAGATAGATAGATAGATAGATAGATTGAGAATCCTAATATCAATATGTTAAATATATGAATATTTGAAATGAATTTTGAGAAAAGCAAATATGTAACGATGGTGTTCCGCGAACACAATATGACATAGATAGATAGATAGATAGATAGATAGATAGATAGATAGATAGATAGATAGATAGATATGAACATATTAAGACAGCTATAAAGAAACAGATAGATAGATAGATAGATAGATAGATATGAACATATTAAGACAGCTATAAAGAAACAGATAGATAGATAGATAGATATGAACATATTAAGACAGCTATAAAGAAACAGATAGATAGATAGATAGATAGATAGATAGATAGATATGAACATATTAAGACAGCTATAAAGAAACAGATAGATAGATAGATAGATAGATATGAACATATTAAGACAGCTATAAAAAAAAGATAGATAGATAGATAGATAGATAGATATGAACATATTAAGACAGCTATAAAGAAACAGATAGATAGATAGATAGATAGATAGATAGATAGATAGATAGATAGAAACTTATTAAGACAAATATAAAGAAACAAACAAATAGATAGATAGATAGATAGATAGATAGATAGATAGATAGAATGACGTAAATTGGACGGAAACTTAACAAGCGACAATGAAAAAGGACATGTCAAAGTGAAAGAATATCGAGAAACGCTAGGAAAGAATTGTCTGGTTTGTTTCACAAAAGAGGATCGAGACAAAACGATTGAAAATGGAGTGGCTGTAAAAAATGTGCTTGGGTTTGCCAGGGGTGTGGGATAACCTGATATGACTCGTAAAGCAAAGAAAGGGACAAACATAATGTGTTAGATGGGTGGGGGTTCGGTTTTAATAAGAGATCCTACTCTTCCAGGCCCCATTTTGACTAACATGCAGAAACGGGACCCTACACTGTGTTGAGTCCATGCATGATAAACCAGCCGTGTCCACTCTACGGGGAGAAGCGAAATCGAGACACGTAATGTAACATGACAGCAAGAAGAGACACAGTTGTCTTGATTGTTCTTGCGTGTTTGTCCCGCTGTGAATGGGAAACAACTTAAAGGGTTTTAGTTCTTGGTAAGATACTTGTGAGATGGGTGTGTTCGTGTATGTGTGTGCGTGTATATGTGTGTTTGTCTTTCAAATATTTCCGCAATACTTCAAATGTGTATAACACGTCCCATCAACTTTATGAAATGTAGTATATTTTTGTCTTTTATTATCAGACTTTATTTTTCAAAATGATACAGCATTAGCAAGCAAATAAAACGGATTTATTTTAGTTTCTGTTGCAGAATATCCACAAATATTTCACAAGAAATACAGAGATTTATATTTATCTATTTTTTTATAGGAAGAACATTTGATTGGTGGAGTAATGGATAGCGGCTCGGATTGTGGAATTGGAACGTTCGAATTCCAGTAGAATCCATTACATTCAATTACGTGCTGATAACCTTTGGAAAGATATGAATCCTCTTCTCCCCGAGTTATGGGCCAATAGCAGGACAGGCTGGGTTCTATATCTTTGGATAGAAACTTGTCTAGGAGAAGAATCCTGAAATCAAATTTGGGTGATTTTTCACGCTAGTGCAAATGGTCGATATTCGAGACAAGTATGTGTTCACATTTCCCAATTAAATTTACAAGAAAGTCTTTTTAAATACTGGCGTAATATAATGTTCCACCTAAAACTGACAACTCGACTTTGCATGTTAACTCTCAAATATTCAATCGTTCTGTCGATGAGTCAAAATTTCAGAGGCATAAATATCTCGAAAATGCCAGAATATATATTCTATAAGAGACGCTTTCTTCTCCGAAAATGCATCCTCTGTAGTTCTAAATTGTTTTTCATGTTCTTTTTCTTCTTCTACGTGCCACATCCTTTCAAGGCATGTCTTTTCCCAACCTACTATTTTGTGTGGATTCTAGCAGTTTTTCTAAATTTGCTAAGGCCCCAAATAAGAGTTCGGCTACCCATTTGCATAATCTCGTCAGGTAAGAATTATTTCCTTTATCTCTTTTACACTCAGTGTGCTCTATGAGGGTTATGTTTTACGAGTCCTCCATCACCAAGGTTGTGCCCAAAGAATTTTATCTGTTTTTTTTTCCTGTCTCAGAGTGTTCTTTCTGTTGATATTTTTTTTAAGACTTGCTTTTTGCTTACTCGCTCCGTTCACAGAATGTTCAACATCCGTCTATAAAATAACATTTATGCTGCTTCATTCTTTTTCTTCATTCGTGAGGAAATACTACAGCATTCGTTACCATGTAAGAGCATAGATACTACACAGCAATATAGCTCTCGTTCTTTTGTTCCTAATAATTTGTTTCCGTTTCTCAGCACGTTGCCTTTCTTTTGAATGCTTCTATCTCTAGTTCAGTGCATGTTCGGATCTCACTGTCGCATTTTCCACCCCATTAAAACGCTTCCCAGATATTTCTTCTCATGCTTGACTCCTGCATCTACAATTCATAACTCGTATGTTCTTTTGCAGACGACCATACTCTCTGTCTTCGTACATTTGATGGTTATTCCTTTGATTATGCATTCTTGTCACAGCCTCTTTAAGATGTCCTAGTGTTTTCTTTCCGAGTCTGCGTATCTTATATTCTTATGATAATAAAGCCTGAAAGAGTCTCTAGTTCTCTTAGGACAGAGTTGCCGTATAGGTCGAATAAATATGGGGAGAAGATACATACACGACTCTGCCCTCTTTCTTTTGTTGCATATATATTCGTTTTATATCATTATAAAGGCAGTTTGCTGCCAGTATAATTCCTGGATTATTCTATTATCTTTTTCAAAGAAATCTAGGCTTCCTAGCAGTTCAAGTAGATCCCTGTGACTTAACTGGTTAAACGAGTTTGATTAATCTATAAAATATAAGTGCACATCATCATCGTTTGTATTGCTCCCTCGAATACCATTTTGAATATGAATATCATATTTCTTGTTCCGGTGTCCTTGACAAAAGCGTAGAGTACTATTTCCTGTCTAATTCTGCTTCGTCCTCTATTCATAAGAAGTCGCATAATTAGATTGGTTATATGGCTCATTAAACTGATTGTCCTCTGACGTTTGCATTCTTTTACAACTGGTCTCTAAGGTAATGTTACGAAGATGGTTTTAGTGACGTCCTCCTGTGTGAGGCTACTTTTGTATATTTTGTTTATTAATTCAGTGATATTGCCGATGCTGAAATCTAAAATTTAGAGCACTTCTGTTACGATCCTATCATGTCCAGCATCTTTGTCCCTTTTCTTCTTTTCCAGTGCTTATCTTATTTCATCTTTTAGTATTTCTGGCCATTTCGTATTTTCCAGCGTAGATTTATTTCTTGCATCGTGAAATTATCTATTATTAGTTATCCTTTATTTGGTTTTATAAAATAACCTTTAGGTTGGTTCACCTTTCCTACTTAATTATTTTATTCTGTTGCGTATTTGCTTTGCACATTCTCTTCATTTCTGCAGACTTTTCATAAATCCATTTCTCCTTAGCCTCTCTCCATTTGTTTTTGATTTATATGTTTAATGTTCGATATTTTTTCCATTACTTAGCATTGTTGTCGCTTTATCATCATCTACAGAATTTCCAGTTTTCCATTCATTCCTTTCTTGTCTATTTTTCTTTGATACCTGATAATGAGGTAAAATTTTCAATACGAAGTCGGTTACTTTGTGTGTGTGTGTGTGTGCGTGCGTGTAAGTTTGTGTGTGCGTGCGCGCGCGTGTGTCTGTGTAAGTGTGCGTGTAACCATTGCAATGTCAATGTCTTTGCGTAGATAAAACTTCTGATGAACCGCTTAGGAAACTATATGTAACTTTCTTCATCTCATAGCCATAAAATTAGATGCTCTTAACACAGGAAAGAAACTGTCAAATATTTTAATAAAATTTAAAGCTCGTATTTATTTACATTTCACAATAAATATATTTTTTTGTTTATTTAAAGATGTGTGCAATTTATTTTATTTTTGTGGGGGTGTATATGTTTAGAATAAAGAATTATGATTTGAAATGTTCTTAACTTGAGCCTGATAAAGACAAATTTAAGATATTCATTAATAACCTTCCTCGCAGTTTATAATAAAAAAAAGAATATAAAAATATTGATTTCAAGAAGTTTTCAAATAATTACAGTTGTCTTTTGATCTCTAAACGCTTAAGTTATCTCTTTGAGTGATAAAAAGTGTTGTCATATTTTTGTTGATTGGCCTAGAACTGATGCACTGTTTTATATTTATCTATTTTTTAGAGGAAGAAAATTTGATTGACTTTTACTTTCATCTTAACGAACACACACACACACACATACATATACATAT